AAAAAAGGAAAAAAAAGAAATGAACTCGACGCCATTCAATCCTGTGCATTGATTATTCCCTCGAAATAGCAGCGATTACCATTCGTCATTACCTGCAAACTGAATAATTGAAAACCGAATACACTGTTTCACTTTTATCCTCTCGAATCTTCATTTTTTCCCATTTTCGAGCCGTCAAAAACCGAATAATCATTCTCTCCGACAGCACCGCTTCGGAAAGAATCTTTGCATCTTTCGTGCTCGAGAAATAATCAACTCAAACGTAGAATCGTTGTTGTTCGATCCGGTCGTTAATTATCAAACCGAGGGTCTCTCGAAATAGCAGCAACAAGCTTGCTGGAATTACAGCAATTCGTCGATGTAAAATTCTACGTCCGCGGCTGAAATTTCTGTGTCGAGGCGAATCGTACGATTGAGCCACGTACACGAGTCACGTGCACGTACAGAGACCATCGAATTCGAGGAAGGGCGATCGCTCTTTATTGATCGATCTCTCGTGCAATTCACGGGAGGCGGGGGAGGACGGGGTTAGAGAAAGAGAGAGAGAGAGAGAGAGAGACAGGATTATCCATTAGAAGGTTCACCGCGAGATTCCGTATACATGCACGGGCCGGGCATTTTTCATTGATCGAGGCGTTCCTTTTCACCGGCAGCCGCGGTGGCTGGCCGAATGTCTCGCCTGTCAACCTTTTAACAACGCGCCGTCTGGATCGATGCACGAGCCCGTGTTCGCACTTCTCCTTCTCCCGTGTCGGAAACTAGAAATTTCTAGCTCTATTTAACGAAAGACGAATCGTAAGAGTCGCGTATCGAATGCTGCTGTGACGAGAGAGAATAATCACGCAAGTGCAAGACATTAGGATTATGTGATGAGCTGACAAGTACGCTAGACAGACTATCAATTGAGATTATTGGTGTTACGTCTTATTTCGTTTCATTTGCAATGATTCGAATTGGACTTTTCTTTTCTTTTTTTTTTTTTTTTTCGACAATGCAGTTTGTTTGGATATATTTTATTTTCAACGTGTGTGCAATATTGTCTCATTGCGAGAAAAATGATTAATATTGTAAAAATGAAACTGGAAATGATTGAATTTTGACTTGATTTAAGAAATTAATTAATATTGTGATGTGAAAGGTGGTACGGTAGTCAACTTTATTATCCTATTAATTTGTCCAATATAATTTATTCTAACGATCATACCTTCGACTTCTATAAAAACTTCGTCAGCTTATTGGCACTTACATCTTTGAATATTAACAGATTATTAGATTATAAAATTGTTATAATATTTGGTTATAAAATAATACAATCAGAGCAATGAATCATGCGAAAAAAAAAGAAAAAGAATTAGAAAACGAATGAGACTAAAATTCAGTGAGCTTCTTCTTTAAAATAATTATTCCAATGAATCGTTCTTGTAAAGGAGGAGTGAAAATTTGTCTCTCCTAATTTTAGCTGCAGTTACGACTATCTAAATTGCACAATGCCGACACAATGTGTTGTATAGAACGAGCAAACAGTCTCGCGTTGGCCCGCATTTCGTGGATCGTCGCCTTTTGCCTCTCAAATTACCTTTGTTGACCAAGAGTCAGACCTACCACCAAAAAGCTTCTGTTAATTACACAGTTAATGATTACGAATCAGGATTAAACGACGTGCCCTGCGGCCAGATAATTGTTTGTACTGTGGGTTGTCTGTGACACGCGTACGTTGTAACCAAGGAGCTGAACTTTGACCACTCCCATGAACCTACAATGACAGACAGAAAGAAAGTTTATAGAGACACTGTAAGTCTCAATAAATATTAAATTGATTAATATGCAAATATAATAATATAAAATTAATTTAATATTTAATATTATCATATCATATCAAATACAATGATACCAAATTTGAAAGTATTTAATATATCAAAATTAAAACATTGTATTATATACATTGGTAACATTACATTTATTCGTTCCTTTCCAAAAATATTTTCTTACCCTCTAAACTTTCTTTTGTCTGCAATTGTTTCACGTTACAATAAATGATAATTATTCAACGAATCGTTAGCTAATCACAAATACAAAAAAAAAAAAGAACTGAAAATTTCTCTCTATAAGTTTCTATTTTTATTTTTTATTAAACGTTAAACGATAACCATGTAAATTGAGAACTGCATGGAGTCAACTGTGATTGTGAGGGGCGGGTGACTATTTTAGAACGAACCAAACAGTACAGTTTTTCGATAATTCACTGGATGACTAATGCATCGATGGGATTAAATGCCAGCATGCTAGTCCAGCCTCCGATGAAACATTATTTCGTTTTACCATGCGGGTTCGACGATATTTCTCGTTTCACGTCGGCGGGAAAAGATTTACTCGGGGTGAAATAAAAGATGGGTGAAATTTATCTCTGAGATGTATAACCCTTTCGCCCCTAAGCATTCGCTAAATGATTCATCGACCCCATCGTCGCGTCATATTGACGCGAAATTTTTTTCCTACGTCGCACTCGTCGAAGAATGACAGAATAAAAGCTACACATATTTAATGGAAAAATAAAATCTCGTTTCTGACAGATGAAAAAATACGAAGTACGATACGAATCTTCTTAGATGAAACAATATTTCATGATCCTTTTATTACTGAATTCATCACTGCATTAACAGTAACGATTTCTCATTTCCTTTTTTTATTAGAATTTTATCATCATCTGATTCTATCCTTTGAAATTCAGTTTTATTTTATTGCCAAGTCTCTCGCTTACAACTTCTCCATTTTCTTTCGAATCTCAGATAAATGTTGAATAAAAGTTACAACGTGACTTTACGCTTCTGAACCTATGAAAAATGAAGATCTGTTAAAAAAAAACCTGCTGCGAGATTTTCACCTTGACCTTGATTGCCAAGATCAAGTTCTTTTTTTATCGTCGCGCTGCAGCCGAGAAGGGGAAGAAAAGTCTCCAAGGAAGAGGAGAGATCTCAAAGGAAATGAATCGGGGAACGATATTGAAATTCCAATAATCCTTAATGCCGCTTCATTTACAATCAGCTTTACTTTTACGCTCGAATGCTCAAAAGTGTGAAAAGATCCAGGAATAATAATCGTGACAAATAATCCCCTTCCACCCTGTGCATACATATTATACATATTCACCAACGACGAAAGAATTTTATACGTCAGAGTGCCATTTTCGTTCACTTTGGTCCACCTTAGCGAAAGACTTAAATTTTGACAATTTTAACAAATTTTCTTTCGTTGGCGTTGTTCTAACGAACGCCAAAAACACTTTCACGTACGTGGGAAGCAAAAATTCGACAGATCGGCACACACAGACCGACGAGAGGACATCGATTCACGCGTTAATTCCGCGCGGAATAACAACGCGATTATTTTCCTATCCACTTTCGGCGAAAACGCTTTAAGAGCGCAATTACGCGGGATAACGACGTTGGCGTTTCGCGTAAGAATCTCCGCCGCATAATCCGACTTTAATAGAAGGGGACGTGACGCGACCGAGTAATTTAGATGAAAACGAATACCAAGAATGTGGGAAAAGAATTGCGTGTAAACGTGAAAATGGGAATAGGGGTGAAATCTGCCCATGAGTTGAATGTGCAAGAGATGAGGGGAGAAGAAGCGCGACGCAGTTTCTCATTCTCTTGCACCGTTCTACGATTTTAATTTCGCGAATTCCTCCGCTGTTTCGAGTTAAACCATTGCAGTTAATGGACCATGCATCTTTGATGCAACACAACCGCGCCTCAGGTGGAATCCTCTACGAAATTTCCTACTCGAGACAGTTGAAAATTCGCACGAAAGACGAACGTTTCCGTGATCAAGATTTGCGGCGAAGGATAATTACTATACTGTGGATTTTTTTGTATTTATGGGAAGTTGCAAACGTATGTATGTAATGTGTGAAAAGTATAGTAAATAATGGCAATAATGTTTTGACTCCTTTTCTTCGACTTATATAAAGATATAATATATTTGCAGTTTGATAATTATTTTATCCTAGACGCTAGAGCAATCAGTTTCTAATCTTGCATAGAAATTTTCTATATTTATAACAGTGTGTATTTTTAGAGAATAATTCTTATTGTATTGTCACTGATGTCCACTTCAATTTCTTTGCTAGGAATTCAATGCTTTAGTCATCGGTAAATTCTTCGTCGACAAATTAAATTTGGAATTAAGAGGCGAGATCGAAACTCTTACTCGAAGATTACGCCGGTTCGGCCCATCCCCGAAGAAGTAAATTTACAGCCGCCGCGATGCACACTTATCACGAGTGAATGAATAACGCACTTTAAAACTTTCACGGTTTCGATTCTCCCTGGCGATACGCTTGCGATATGTTCGCGAAATCCCGTGATACGATGAATCTCCATCGGAATTCAGGTCGTCCATCACGATCCGCAACGTCGGCGCGACGCGTTCTCTCAGGAGGATTTCCGGCTGAAATCTTCCAGTAGCCCCAGTAGCTGTACCAGATTCCTTACGCGCAAGACACGAGAGTTACACGAGAGTTACGTCCGTGAATTCAATTTCTCGCAAGGATTCGCGGGATAATGAGATCGTCAGGCTGAAAGCATGATTCTACATCATCCCACGTTGTTCTTGCCTCTTTAGCAACGTCTATCATCGGGCAGCTACTTTCGAACACAATCCGCGTCGAGATTTCGGGTTGATTTCCACCCGATGGCAAATGGTTTTCGCGTGTAGCGTGAGAGCTGTCTTTTATGAGTGTTTCCTACGAAACTCCGTTGACCATTACGACAGTTCTATACGCGCGGTGTCACAGATCGACCTTTCTCCCTTTTCCTTTCTCTTTTTTCCTTCACGTTCGTTTTCTTTTCTTTCTTTCTTTCTTTTTTTTTTTTTTTCTTTTTCGTTCGTAACAAGTGAGGAGATTTCTCTGCTAAATTCAGAGCAAGGGGAGACATT